ATTTTGTACAATCGAAAATTAGGCGCGCACCTGACCAATTTTAGTGGAAGCGATTGTTGCTTCAATTCGGCGTGCTTTGAATGACTTGCACAATGTTGGCTATTATAATGTACACTTAATTAGCAAAATCACCCATTCAAGAGCGAAGTGAACCCTTTTGATCTTCCAGTGTGTGTAATCACTTTTCAGATGTCAATCACTGTAAGGAATGTAGAAAGTCTCGCCATACTCAACCAACTTGATGGGGTCAAATCCAAAAGCTGGCCAAAATGCTTCACCAGAACGGCTCCACTGAGTCAACCGGGAATTATCTGAACCAACCCGTTGAAAGTTGAAGGCATAAATCAAAGAGTACACCTCCTGCCACCGTTTCCCCAGATAGAGTACTTTGTCAGAAGCGTTGCTTATAAAGGTGCCCTATGCTTCGCATTGCTGAAGGCGCACTGTATATATCACTCACAAAATGTTACACTCTAATGTGGCATGTAACTGCAGGACCCGCAAAATGAACGTGCAAATTGATTGAATTGCTACGACATTGATGAAGTGTACAGAAGCTGTTTCCAACTGCTCTCTTGAAGAAGCCATTTCGAGCGCAGAATGCTTTAAGTTAAGGAAGCAGGTAGACTTTAGAGGAAATATCCCCACTTTGGAGGCCAGGTGCCATATTTGATGGGCGAGGTGCCTTAACATGATGAGAAGGCGTTTGTTCCTCCTTACAGGACTTTACCTATAGTTCAACGGAAATTTTGTGGGAAACGCCACATTATTATACAAGATTCGATGCTTTTGTGAGTATAGTGTGGTGATATGCCCATGTTGAGTTCATAGTAGGCAACCTAAGATGTTTTCCTGGTGATGATAGTTGATCACGATGCCTGCCTTACTATGTCACTTTGAAAACTAACGATGGGAACATTATAAGACACGTATATGAGAAAAAATGTGCGATGAGTGTAATGGAGGTGAAGGTGGTGAAAGAAGCGAAAAGGCCGAAAACTTATACGAATGTTCGAACTGTTATTACCACATTTGTGACGCACTCTGTGTCTTCACTTTTTCTGCATGGACAGGGTACGTTGCCCGATTCTCTCAGCTGTTTTTAAAACCCAGTCCCTGCTCTCAAGCAATTCATTTTGTAAATTCCTTTTGCTACAAGAATTTGGTCACAG